ACCCTGCTAGCTACTCTATATTATACCAGCTGATCATATAATAACCTTTACAGTGCTACTGCTTAAACATTTCCTCTTGTCTATTGCTGTGGACTTTGTCAAATGGTTGGGATTATAGCATGGGAATCCATTGTAAAATGTGCAGTGATTTACATTTTGCTACTCCTAAGAGCTAGCATTTACTTTTTCTTTAGTTTCAATTATCCCTCACACTTTGGAGTTGCACAAAGGAAGATAAATCTAATATAGGAGTAGAGAAATTTTCCAGTGTATAACAGATATTCTAAATGAACAGGAGAGGGGGCTTGATCAAAGGTGATTTGGTACTGATAGTACAACCACAACTATTTCAACAGAAAACACTATGGATTAAGAGGCAATTGAACATTTTTGTGCAAGTTATGCAGGTTCAGTATGCATCAGAATAAGTATCAGTTTGTGGAAACAAGAATACGGTAAGTATCAACATGCTCTAAAGCAGTCTTCCCCAACCTTATGCCCCTCAGATGTTTTGGAGTATAACTATGGGAAAGCTGGCTGGAGCTTATAACCTAAAACAGCTGAAGGGCCCCACTATGGGGGAAACCTGGCCTAAGGCATCTTTTTCAACATTCCCTGCCTAAGGAGCTATTCCACAGCTTGGCTCCACCTGCTGTACTGTGTGAACCTTACAAGAACTGTATTCTGAAATTTAGAATCTTCTGATGTGAGTTTCCAGCTTCGCTTCTTTTTCTTTGTGTAACAATACATTGTGTGCCAACAGTAAAGCTGTAGGAAGAACTATGATTCCTTCAGACCAAGTAGTCCATGAACCACAGGTCTAAAAACTGGGCGGTCATTACCACCTGGAATACTTGAATAGGCTAGCTTTTTTTTTTTTAAAGCCCACAACCATAGTTGATTATTAGCCATGGTAATATGGGTAACTAGTAGTTTTCATTAAGAAAGCTCCATAACAGCTAATGATTTTACTAGGGTCAAAGGCTATCAAAAATAGTACCCAATCTTTAAATGAGGTCATTGATACTTTGTTGATGGATTATAGTATCAACACCATTTAAAGACTAGCATCTTTGGAAAGAGGAGCGCTGACAGATGAAGGGTGGAAAGTATTGTTTTAGATCAGGATTTCACCACAATGGGTTGATAAGTGTCAGTAGGCCAAACATGGAAAATTTGGGTGGATAATATACAGATGAACTTTGGCTTTTGAACAACTTTAACCATAATGAAAACCCAAAAGACAATGGGTGGTATTCAGTGCTAGTTCTACAGATAGTAAACTAATTGAAGATAGTGGACATGACCAAGTTAGGTTCATCAATTTCAGCGGGGCTACCTTGAGTAGGAGTAGCACTGGCTTCAACCAGGTTTTGCATAGTCCTGAATATTTTTCAGTGTTGCTCTCCAAAATAATTTCAACACATTACTGGATCTTCTCTGGTCAAATTGAGTTCTCATGGGCTCTAACTGGGCAAAAAGTATTAAACTTCTATCTAGTCTATGGACTCTTCTGTTCCCTTGACTCTACATGTAACTGGCAAAATCAAGACAACCTTTTAAGCCATAATGATGAAGCAGCAGAGAGTCTAAGCCAGACATGTCCAACATGTCAATCGTGATCGACCAGTCGATTGTGGGATGGATTTTGGTTGATCAGACGACCAAGGCTTCGTCGCCTCCGCCCCCAGGCTCTCCCATTGCCTCCGGGTGCCCTCAGTGTGTGCTCGGCCTTGGCCGGAGCGACTCCTCAGGCGGCATGGCCAGTCAAGCCGGGCTTACAACTTACACCAAGCTCTCTGGCTGGCACTGGTGCCGCCTCCACCTCCTTGCAGCCACCTCAATTCCCTCTTTCCTGCTCCAGGCACTGCTGATCCTCCGCGCTGGCGGGCAGGTGCTGCAGCGGTGCAGCTTTCTTCTCTGCTCCGCTGCTTCCTCCGCGCTCCACTCAGGCCACCAGCTTTGCCTGACATCCAGCCAGCTGGCCAGCCCCAGAAAGGCATGAGGCACCTGCCTCCGCCCCTGGCAAGCTGCAGCCCTGGGGCAGGGAGGCGGGGGGCAATGACGAGGTGCGCAGGCTTCATATGGGCTGCAGCACTGCGGAGGGAACCACAGGAAGGGCAGTGTGAAGAGAGAGAATATAACATCCCTCCTTCCTCTCCCCCTTCCTGCTGGTTCCTGTGAAAAAAAATGCCGGGTCCCTCACCCCTCCGCTCTCTCCCCTAGTTCTTCGTGGACGCTAAACTTTGTCCACCTTTCAAGCTCCAGTCTTGCTGCGTATCCTTGAAAGTAAGCCACCTCCCCACAGAGCCAAGGGGCCCTGGGAGGGGGCTGGTGTGGGGGTAATAATTTGTTATTATTTTTACCATAAGCTCAGCCAAATATAATATGTCTAAGTTGAAGAATGACAATCGGAGAGTGTGGTAGATCACTGCCAGTTTTTGATACTGGATAGTAGATCATAGCCTACTTGAAGCTGGGCATGCCTGGAAGCATATCAATGTACATTTTGTTGTAACAACCCTGTAAGGTATGTATTATCTATCAATTGTAGTTGGGAGGACTGAAAACCTGAGAGCAGCTTGTTTATTTTCGTCTAATAAGTTCATGCCAGAGAGGTGGCCCTCTCTTACCTACCACTGTTAATCAGAAATGTATACTTTTCTTTCTTTACTTCATAAAATTTATCACCACGAGATTGTAAAAAAACTTCAAAGCAGTTTCCAAAAAGATATAGCAATGCAATTGTCAATAATTGAACTCAATAAACTAAAAGCATTCAAAAATTGACATAAACAATAAACTAAGAAGTGATTAAAACTTACACCAAAACTCTAAACCGTGGGTAGGCAACCTAAGGCCCGTGGGCCAGATGCGGCCCAATCTCCTTCTCAATCCAGCCTGCGGACGGTCCAGGAATCAGCGTGTTTTTACATGAGTAGAATGTGTGCTTTTATTTAAAATGTACCTCTGGGTTATTTGTGGGGCATAGGAATTTGTTCATATATTTTTTCCCCAAAATACAGTGGAGCCCACCACATGGTCTGAGGGACGGTGGACCGGCCCACTGCTGAAAAAGGTTGCTGACCCCTGCTCTAAACATCTGGATAGGCCTGTCTAAAAATCTGTGGTTTAACGTTGTAACATAACACATTTTATATGACATAATGTTATAGTTGCAACAATAAATTTCTTTTATTTAATATATTTTATCCCACTTCTCAGCCAAAAATTGGTTTCCAAAGCAACTCTTAGGAATTAACATTTGCACTGTGAGAGCAACAAAAGCCCTTTCTTCAGCTAACTTTTGAGGATTTGCGGGATCTTCTGTCTTGCCAAATTTATCCAACACTGTGTTCAGTATTGCATTTCTTTGTTTTTCAAATACATCCTTTCTATAAGAAATAAACTATTCCAAGCTATATGCCTGATGTAGATTTGGTGGCCACAGTATCTTATCACCAGTGCTTATCATCAGTGCACATATTCTCTCCCCTTTCCCATGAGCTGCTGAACTTCAGCGAAATGTGGATGAAAATAGGCCTTAAAGTTATATTTATGTCTATAGTATGAAATCTGCTCCACATGAATATTGCACAAATCATGCACATTGAATGCATGAATTTATACAAATTATTATTTTTGAAACTTAGAGGCTTGGGTTAATAACATCTGGAGCATTGCTCTATCAGAATCCTCCCATACCATCAGCCACTAATCAAAGGCATCTCCCAAAAAGATACCTTTGACACAATTTGGTCTCCCCTTTTCTCTTTTATTGAAGAACAGCGGAATATTTTAATGTCATCATCATTGCAGAGGTGTCTGTGGAGGGGATATATTGATTGAAAAGCGGGGTGGGGGGGACACACACTCGATGGAATACCATGTTTAATTAATCTCTGTTAATAGCTGTCAGTTGGCAAGCAGCCACATCATCTATCCATCTTAAGTGTAAAGGTTTTTGAAATTGTGCTAGAAACATGTTAAGTATTATATTTCAAAAATTGGTGGATTGTAAAGTGATTCAGCATAGGCAAGAATATTGTTTAGATCTCTTGGTAGTTTTACATGAATGCTTAGCATGAAACTGTTTTTTTAAACATTGGTTTCTAGTAGCAAGACTTCAGGTTTAATCATTGAATTGGTTAGAGATGACAAGTGGAAAATTGTCCTTTAAAATGTTTTATTAGTACTGTATTAAACAATGCACATATTATCAGATAAAGTAACCTGATAGACCCTGAATATTTGTTGTTCATTGAAGTTGCATTGTACATGGCTTGTTTTCAAGGAAAACAAGCCAACAGGTGTCTGAAAGCTAGTGCAAGCAGTCTGAAAGCTTGTAAAATGATAGATAAAGGCGGACTGCATTCTTCTGAAATCACAGCCAATTATAATAGTCAAATAATTCCATTACAATAGCATCTTAAAATGTTCTCTAACTGCACTATAGTGATAAACTGTCACAGTCCTATGCTTTACAGCCATTTGTATTCCTGAGTTAAGATGCCATTGAAATAGCCTCATCTTATTTTCTTTCATCATTTCTTCAGAATTCAGCAACAAAAATAGTAGAGAGTAAAATGCTGGCATGACTATGAACACTGAAATTTTAATTCAAATTTGGTTGGGATCCTTGAAAAATTATCCTCTAAACATATGAGTAAAAGCATGGGAAAATGCCTCATGATACACTAGTCTCTAAAGTGAAAACAGGGCCAACTCATGCAGCTCTTCTGGATTTTAATAGTAGTAGCAGTATGGTTGAAGTACAGTAGTACAGTTGTACCTTGGAAGTCGAACTCCTTGCAAGTCGAACATTTTGGCTCCTGAATGCCACAAACCCGGACGTTAGTGCTCCGGTTTGCAAACGTTATTTGGAACCTGAACGTCTGGTGCGGGTTCCGCAGCTTCCGATTGGCTGCAGAATCTTCCTGCAGCTAATTGGAAGCCTCGCCTTGGTTTCCAAACATTTTGGAAGTCAAATGTACTTCCAGAACAGATTCCGTTCAACTTCGGAGGTATGACTGTATACTACTACCACCAAAGTAGTGAATGAAATGCTGAATCACAACTGAGGGCATGTTAAAGAGAGAATGTGTCATATGATTCTTTTCTTAAGAGGCAGATAAAATGGATTTTTGTTTGACAGGTAAACAAAACCATTTTGCACATCATGGTGTGAATGAGAGAGATTCAAGGATATGCATGACTTTCCTGCACATGTATCCAGCAGCTGTAATATAGGCTTCAAGCTATGACTCCTCTTTATATATAAGGGTTGTGCAGTGAAAGATCAAGCTTGCATTAACAGTTCTAATAAAAATGTTGCGATGAATTTTGCTTTAAAATAAAGAAGTCTCATTTAAATGCTTGTGCATAGTGTAAGTGCAGGAGCTCTTTCAAGTGGCAATGTATTCACTGTAAAAAATGCAAAATATTTTAAGCTATTTGCTCATAGCTATTGAGATTCTAGTTTGCTGAAGACAGATTTTTTTCTGCAGGAAATGTGTTTTTTGTCTAAAACTGTTAAATGAAAAGATTAGGGTTGGTTGATTGAGGGATTTATTTAATTGAACCAAGATGTAGCCTTTGCAGTTTTGAAAATAGGAAACTAATCTTAAGCAGTTCGTTTTAGTGGGGCTCTCTAGAATGTATTTCCTCCAGCAGCTGTTAACAGTGCTATTCATAGATCACTGTTGGCATTAATCAGTTGTACTGCTGCCATTGCCATAAATCTGTATTTCCAAGCTGCATAAGATTTTGTTACACACTGCACTGGATTTAAATTTAAAGGGGCAAAAAATGTATTGATCTGGTAATCATATCCTTAAACCATTTCTTAGAAAATTGTTCACAAATTTGAAGGACTTGGTCTCATGGTGGGTTTTTTGTTGTTACATGAGCAGTTCCTGTTCACTTTGAAGTGCTTGATGTTCAAATTGCAGGTAATTCGCTAATTTTTCCATTTCTTCAAAGCCTTTGCAAATATTTAAAATATCCATATCTAACAATATAGTTGCAGACTCCTTCAAAGAGCTTTCATCCCTTTGAATTATAATTGTGTACTGGTCACACAGTTTATATGTTATTTGATTAATAACATGATTGCTTGCATAATGCTGGATACCAGCCTTCTTCAGAAAGTCTTCCATGGTCATGTTTGCGTCTTCCTCAAATTTCAAATCTATGTTAAGAAAGTTTGCCAGATGTGTAATTATCTCTCTTTCCCCAACTAGTTCAGTATATGCAGAACTGGCTGCTGCACATGTATATGTACTATCTGTTTCAATCAAATCAAGTTGCTGGTCATTTTGATTGTTAGGCTCAAATTGTGTTTGCTTCTTTTCTTCATAGACAGTAGGTTTAGCACTCTGAATATTTTCTGGTTTGTTCTGGTTTGCAACATTTTCTCTATCCATCTGCTCCTGAGATTCTAGTATAAGATGCCACTGTTGATTTCTTTGACTAAGCCATAATTGAGCCATTGCTAGGTCATCTGAAGTAGTATCGTAATAATGTTCTCTGTAAGTGACTAGCTCCAAACATTTGGCACCAACCGCCAGCAGTTTAGCTTTACTATCTTCTGTTACCCAATACTTCTGTTGAAGTTGGACTTTTGGGACTGAGGAGAATTCTTGTGTTGCTTCCATGTTCCTGTTGAGGAAAAGGTGTACATTAAGGCAACAGTTTGATTTATACAAATTCTGATTACTATATAAAACAGCCATTAATAGGGCTGGGAGGAGAATCATTTTAATTCATAGAATCATAGAATTGTAGAGTTGGAAGGGACCCTGAGAGTCATCTAGTCCAACCCTCTGGCATTCATTCTTTATTCATTGGATTTATATCCTATTTTTCAGCTAGAGTCCTCAAAGCAGCTAACAACTTTTGCAAAACACACCAAGAAGCACATGCTCAAAAGCACAACACAACCAGCCTCACTGTTCTTCTGAACGGGGCAGCTACTCTTAAGTTGGCCCTATAAGTGGGTGGGGATGGCATAGTTTGAGTAGGCCCTGAGGTTGTCTTTGTCTCCCTCCCTCTTTTCTACTTGCTGTGGCGGTGTAATTTGCTCTTCACTTATTTGACGGGGCGAGCTTTAAACACTTCCTTTCTCACTCTTCTCCTTTTAGCCTGCCACATATGATTTTCCAATCCCTAGGGATGGGGAGAAATTCAAATTCAGTTCACTTTTAAAAGTGTATCTATCAAATTTGCACCTTTTGAAACAATACGTGAACTGAAATACAGCTGTCCTTTGAAATTCACACTTATCCAAATTTTGCAATACAATTCTTCATAAGAATGTAAGAAGAGTTTGCTGGATCACACCAGTGGCCCTTCTAGTCCAGCATTCCGTTTCTGCAGTGAAAACCAGATGTTTATGTGAAGACTAAAAGCAGGACCTGAGCACAAAAGCACTCTTCCCACTTGTGATTCCCAACAACTAGTATTCATACTGTCTCTTGGACAACCTATATTTACAAAATGCAAAAAATGTGCCTAAAAATTAATATATGAGTGAAAATAAAAATGTATGTATGGGGAAATTGCTTGCAAAGGGGTGTGTTCATTAGTTAAAATTGCATATAAAATGTGTGTGTTATATTCTGAAAAATATGGAAATTTTATTTTAAAAATGCAGATTGTGGTAAAACGTGGACAACTGAATTTAAAATAAGGAAATTAAAATACCAAGAAAGCTTTGGATTTTCATCAGTTGTTTGGATGATGTCTAAGATATATAGCATTTATCTGAATGATAGGAATAATAAATATTGTGATAGGCAGATGGCAAATTTAACTAAAGACATATTCCAGAGAAGGTGAAGGGGTGTGTGTGTGTGTGTTGTAGTAATTTTATCAGGTTTTTACATTTGCTTTATTTTTGGTGGTGGTTATCTAACAAATGGCAGTATAAAAGTGAAGTTATGCTTAGAAATGTAATTTCTTTCCTCTTAAAATTAATTTTAAGTGCACAACAGAAGGCTAGAATCAAAACAACAGTTCAGTTACTTCTATGAGCTTAGTGGGGATATGTATCCTCAACAGCAACCCCCTTTGTCACAAGCAGAAACCCAGATAATTTGAAAAGTAGTGTGTGATATGGAATATGGTCTGCTGTTTAAAGGGAAATAAGTCCAGACATTTCACTGCAAACCCTTGCATATGCCTAAAGTAGTTACTGGACTCCAAATATATATGATCATGTTATAACATGGACAATCAATGTCTAGTGTTCCCTTTTCTTTTTTAAAATGTATTTTTCACTGAAGCTTTAAAAAAATACACAAACAAGAATACAAAAATATTATGAGGCCCTAGTATATGCACAGCTCTTTGTTGTCAATTCCCCTACCTCACATCAAACACATGAATAAACAAACATGACTATGCTGTCTTGTTTAGTTTTATCAAACTTTACCTAGGGAAATGGGGGGAACATCCTAATTTTTTCCCCATCTGATATATTCAGGTATGGAAGAAAATATATAGCCACACAGTCTCCTAAGAATTTGGTGTCGACAGAGCTGTGAAGGATTTTATGTAATATGTGAATGAGTTGTTATCTAAAAATAGGTGCTGATTCCAGAAGCATGTCTGGCATCCTACCCTGAACATGATGACTTTACCCTGAAATATTATAGTTTTATCAAGAAGGCTAAAACTTGATAGTTTGTGAAAGTTGTCAGGCATGCCTCCAGATGTTTTGGGACTACAATTCCCCTCATCCCTGACCACTGGTCCTGATAGCTAGGGATGATGGGAGTTGTAGTCCTAAAACATCTGGAGGGCCACGTTTGGTCATGTCTCGTTTAGGCGAACTGTGATCACTAACACTGGATACTGGGTTCACAAAACCCACACATACATTTAAAGAGTGTGTGAGAGAGATGCAGGGCCACATGAGCAAGCCCCACACACTTGCCACTGATGTACTTGGAATCACACAATCTTTCCATGAGAAGGGACTCTTGTGTACGAAAATGCATATGTAGAGTTCCTCCATGTGAGGAGGGAATTTTGGCCCAATTCAGATCCCCTTTTGTGTGGAGAATCTTTTCACATGTACAGTGGTACTTTGGGTTACAAACGCTTCGGGTTACAAACACTTTGGGTTACAAACTCTGCTAACCCAGAAGTAGTACCTCAGATTGAGAACTTTGCCCCAGGATGAGAATGGAAATCGTGTGGCAGCAGCGCAGCAGCAGTGGGAGGCTCCATTAGTGAAAGCGTGCCTCAGGTTAAGAACGGTTTCGGGTTAAGAACGGACCTCTGAAACGAATTAAGTTTGTAACCCGAGGTACCACTGTACCTTGGTTTGTGCAAAGAACTATATGGCTAGTGCATGAGTGCCTCACCATCTCTTCCCAACCTATATGATGAGATGCTTAGACAAAGAATAGAGAAAGGCAGCCCAGAATTTGTCAATATGTTCCTTGGCAAACTCTGGAATATTGTTACAGCAGAGCTGTAAAATCATTGGGGATTTAAATGTCTGTATGCTCAACCTTTCAGTTGTATGAACCTGCAATCATAGTTCATAGAATCATCTGAATGCAGCTAGGGTAACCTACATCGTTAAAAAAAATATGCTAAGTGACTCAAGTAAAAGAATTTTGTTGTTTAGTCATTTATTCGTGACCCCATGGACCAGAGCATGCCAGGCACTCCTGTCTTCCACTGCCTCCTGCAGTTTGGTCAAACTCATGTTGGTAGCTTCGAGAACACTGTCCAACCATCTCGTCCTCTGTCGTCCCCTTCTCCTTGTACCCTCAATCCTTCCCAGCATCAGGGTATTTTCCAGGGAGTCTTCTCTTCTCATGTTGTGGCCAAAGAATTGGAGCCTCAGCTTCAGGATCTGTCCTTTCAGTAAGCACTCAGGGCTGATTTCCTTCAGAATGGATTGGTTTGATCTTCTTGCAGTCCATGGGACTCTCAAGAGTCTCCTCCAGCACCGGAATTCAAAAGCATCAATTCTTTGGCGATCAGCCTTCTTTATGGTCCAGCTCTCACTTCCATACATCACTACTGGGAAAACCATAGCTTTAACTATACGGACCTTGTTGGCAAGGTGATGTCTCTGCTTTTTAAGATGCTGTCTAGGTTTGTCATTGCTTTTCTCCCCAAAAGCAGGCGTCTTTTAATTTCGTGACTGCTGTCACCATCTGCAGTGATCATGGAACCCAAGAAAGTAAAATTCTTTGTTGTTTTAGTTTTCATGGTGGTGTCCAGCAATGTTTGCACAGAACAACTATTAATAAATATGGCAACATTTAGATAAACTGCTTAAAAACTTTTCCAAATCTTCTCTCCTTTAAAGGTGAAGATAGGCAATTTTTCACACACCCTGTACAGAAGTTTCCATTTGTTTTATGCAACTTTATTGTCTTAACTGAACAGCTCATTTTAGCATATATAGTGTTTCTTAGTACTTATTTGCAACTGTTCTTAAGTAGTTCCATCCACATATCAAAAGCCTACAATAGACCAGCCACCTCCCTCTTTTTATGCTGCTTTATCACTATTTTGACTAATAGGTGTTAATCATGTGGTTCCCTCCATTTTTAGCAAATCATATTATACAATCGGAAGAGAAACCAGAGTATCAATATTTACTTTCATTTGAAATGTTTGAAGTGGCCTACCTTGTCATCTGTCTCAGAATGAAAGGGTATGGAAGAAGTTTAGGAGAGTTCCCCCGCCGCACCACTGTTTAGTTCAATTTTTTGAGTTGTAAACCCAAGTTTTCTTGCCAACAATCCGCTTCCTTCAAAGCAGCATGCATGGATCACCCCCACCCCTGGTTTATTTTTAGTTACTAGTTGAGGCTACCATAGAAACAGTGCATGTGGCAACAGTTTATAGTTACTGTTTATAGATTGACACAGAGGTGCTTTGAAGAACCAGCCCAGTACATTTGGCTGAAATCAATGTTACCGGTAGATAGCTAACTGGGTAGATACTAATAATTTCTTAACATAATGTATGCTAAGCTAGTGGAGAAGGGAGAGAAGGCCTTTTTAAAGAAATATTTTTGTTAGGGTTAGAACTCCAGCTGTTAGTGAAAACAAATCTTGTTAATTGCCTTTTACTGGCTGCATTCAAGTATTCCTGATGTAAAAGCCAGACTTCATTAATGGCATCCTGGTGTCATTTGATTGCAAGGGCAAGAGTGGTCTTTTTTTGTGCAGCCCTCACAGAACTAATTTAGGCTTGCCAAAGCATTTGGACATGCTCCACGGCATTTCCCCTCCTTTCCCTTTGAACTACCCACCATGGCTGATTCAATAAGGCCAAAGGGGGTTTTCTGAGTACTGTAGCTCCAGAGCAGTGATGTGGACTTTCTAGAAAATATTCATATGCAAATCAGGGTAATTTGCAGTTTGAAAACTAAATGCTCTAGAGAAGGAGTGGGAAACCTTTTTTTTTACCCCTGGCAGGCTAGATCAAAAAGTGCTCACCCCTCTGAGCCACTTTTGACAGGTTGGTGAATCCACCCACTTGATATTAGGTGAATCTGAGCCTGCCAGAAGTCAGGAGAACTTGTATTTGGCATCTATTCATTATTAGTAATAAGTTTATGAAGCTGTTTTTTTCCTGGTGGAAAAACAAAGCACCAGAAAATTTCCTTCTTCATATCACTGGTTTAGCAGATGATTAACACTTCTTTGCATAAAGGAATGATGTCTACTGGCTACTGCCCTTAAAGTGCTATGTTTGAAGAGTTATTTTCAGACCCTGACCACCTACACCTGGGACTAGAGTGTCCTTTACAGAGGACAGTCTTATATTTGAATGGCTGTCCAAGCTTGTTTTAAATATAACCATTAGGAGGGAGAGAGCAGGGGTTTTTGAAGTTGCCTGGCAAATGTTAGCAGCTGGACAGTAGCATAAGCAGGGATATGGGTCACCTGGTCATAGTCTTGCTTACTATGTTGAGATACAGTGTATTTCTCTTTATATTGCAGTAATTAGTTCTAAATTTGCATCTGTGCATATAAATTAGCACATGCAAATATTTTGCATATGTGTCCCCATTTGTTTTTGTGATGCATTTACAGTGGTACCTCAGGTTACATACGCTTCAGGTTACATATGCTTCAGGTTACAGACTCCGCTAACCCAGAAATAGTACCTCAGGTTAAGAACTTTGCTTCAGGATGAGAACAGAAATCATGCAGTGGCGGCGCAGCGTCAGCAAGAGGCCCCATTACCTAAAGTGGTGCTTCAGGTTAAGAACAGTTTCAGGTTAAGAACAGACCTCCAGAACGAATTAAGTTCTTAACCCGAGGTACCACTGTACTCTCTTTTTTGGCAGTGTATAAGTGGCTGCCCAGTTAGGACTTCCAAACTGTGGTTTGGCCATGGTCTCTGAAGAAGACAAACTGATTCTGGCAGCTCATTTTAGGGCACATTTTCTTATATCATATGCAGGTGCAGTTTGAAACCAGAAATATGTATATAGAGCAGAGGTTGTCAACCTGGTCCCTACCGCCCACTAGTGGGCGCTTCAGGATTCTAGGTGGGTGGTAGGGGGTTCTACGGCACAAGCTGAATCCTTCTTCCATTGAGCACTGGTGGGCGGAAAGGAAATTTTACCATCAAGAAAGATGCATTAGTGGGTGGTAGGTATAAAAAGGTTGACTACCCTGATATAGAGAAATATAGTGTACAGTCAGCAATACATTAGCTTGGGACTTATAGGTGAATGAGAATTGGCAATTACTCACAGGAAGGTACATAACCAGTTTATCCAGTAGGCCAATCCATGTTGAAAATCTTCATTTCCACAGTTATCACAACATGGCTTTTAGGAACTTAGGTGAAGGGAACAAAGTGGGTGATTATTATTTTTAATCCAGCTGTCCATATACAGATGAAATATCCAAATGAACTGGGTGTCAGAAGCATTTTTGATAGGATAATGTACCAATTGCAGTATACATAGTTTGGTTTTCACTGCTGAGTAAGCCAGCTAATTGTGACCATTTATTTGTATATTGCCAAGTCAATGGTGATTTTATTTCCACCCTGATTATTGAAAGTGATATGAAGCTTTCTTTCTGCATTTTCATCTTGAAGCATGCTAATTATATTGAGTGGTGACACCTATTGTATTGAAATTTGTAAAGAAATTTCAGGAGAGGTCACCCATATCACCCCTTCTACTGCTGATTACATCTTATTCTTTATGTTACCTTATTGTAGCTGGCAATAAGGAGATGGAGAACAGTCTCACAGTAAAATGACCAAACTTCTATAGTCAACTCAGATAAAATCAAAAGTTGAAGAAAACTGCAGTGTGGGGGGAAATGGTCTGTTATCTAAGATCATACAGGTTAATCAGAAAGAGTACAATATTATAGTTAGAGGATACCACAAGGAAGGTGAAAAACATGCCTTTCCCAACTAATTCAGATGACATTAAAAAAAATGCCTCCTGGCCCTCAAAAAAGCAACTGATTATAACATGGGGTAGACCAAATCCAGGGGAAAGTGGCCTGTACCATCCACTCAGCTCCGACAGAACAGTTTGCTTGTGTGCAATATGTATGTCCTGGAGATCGAAACCTCAAAAGATCCAGAAATCTTGCAAGATTCTGGCCTTTTATTTGCTCTCATAAAAGGGGAGGGGCTGCTTGGGCAGTAGCCACTGTTCTACTCAGAGCAGACCCATTGAAATTGAGAGACATTACGAACTTAGATACATTCATTTCAATAAGTCTACTCTAAGTGGATCTTTTGAGGATATGGCCTCTTGTCACTGTGAGAGTCATGTGCAGTCACATCACTGCTGAGGAAAAAGCAGGGAAGTACCAAGAGATGTTTCCTCCGGTTGTGCAAACCTCCCCACTGTACACAAACACCCCTGCAGGCTGGGTGAGGGGACAATTTGGCTGTGTTGTGTTGAGGCTGGAAGCAGGGATAGATGCTAATGTTATGAAGGCTATGTTTAACCTAAGAGCTAGTAGCACTTCCTTGCTCCCTCCTAGCCTTACATAGTAATTGTACCCAAGAAAAGCAGCAATCAATTAAAAATAGTATAATATACACACATAAGTCAGTGCTGCAGTAGATGTGCACCTGGCTTTATCCCAGTTGCCAGTGTGCAATTATTTGTTGTTGTTGTTTAGTCGTCTTAGTTGTGTTTGACTCTCCGTGACCCCATGAACCAGGGCATGCTTTGGAAACTCTCACTTTCTTCTCAAAGCTTCTCCTTTTTTATGTCCATGGAGTTTTCACTAAATGTGATCCACCTGGAGAGGGAATTGGCAAACCACTCCAGTATTTTGCCAAAAAAACTTTATGTCCATGGAGTTTTCTTGGCAAAATACTGGAGTGGTTTGCCAATTCCCTCTCCAGGTGGATCACATTTAGTCTAAACTCTCGGCTATGACCTGTCTGTCTTGGGTGGCCCTCCACAGCATAGCTCATTGCTTCTTGGAGTTATTCAAGCCCCTTCACCACGACAAGGCAGTGATCCATGAAGGGGTGCAATCATTTACTGTAGGCCTTTTAGAGAACTTTGTTACAAATGTTACAAACATAGTTAAGATTAATAAATTATGGTAGCCATAGAGATGTGCCTGAACACCAGGCACCCCCCTCTTCATTGGCATAGCTGGGGGGGGGCAGAGAGAGGCAGCTGCCCCCATCAATAAAAAGCAATAAAAATACATAGCTAACTGAGGTTCTGCCCTCCCCCCCCAACAAAAGGCCTGCCCCCCTAACAAAAATCCTGGCTACACCCATGCTCCTCTCCATAGGGTTGTACCATTTATCTTTGGACAGAACCCTGCCATTCTTAAGGGACCCAAAAAGGAGTTACCTCCTAGGATCCCCTCTTGCCATTCAGCTCTTCTCCCTCTGTGCTGCTATTGCCACCTTTCTAGTCTCATAGTGATGATCTTTTCCTCCTTCTGTCCCTGGCTGAGGAGTTGAAGGGTAGCAAGCAGGAAGGGTGGATGGTGAGGGCAAGGCTACTTGCCAGTCCCCATTGCAAAGCTCTTTGTCAGCCAACTTCTCTGAGTTTCCAGCTGCCCACCATAATAAATTAAAACATTTGTGTCCCCAAGGAGAAAGCTGCAGCAAGGTCAAACAATCTCTCACCACCATTGGAGTTAAGGGATCAATGAGATTGCCGCAGGGGTAAGGGAGTAGGCAAAATTCCCTTGCGTACCCCACCCCACCCATAATAGTGGACACCTGGAGTTTCATCTGTCAACACAGCCTTTTGTTTCCACGGGCATTTGAAAGCCATCTGGGCTATGAGGACTCCTGATTGAATCTGGTAGTCTCATCCTAGTAGTAACACTGACTTTGGAGAGCCCCCCCCCCCAGTTGATACAGTATTAATTTTTCATGCATTTAAAAACGCAGTTCAAATGGTTGTGGCTTGAAAGTTTTGTAGAAATAAATGTGGATTGCGGTTAATCAGATAAAGGAAGGCAAGGTTAAGAAATGGGGGTAAGGACTGTGCAAAAACTTTTCAGTGGTTCAGTTTTACAGTTTCATTTCCTTTTAGTTAAGAGAGAAATGCAGGCCAGTTATGTTTTGTGTACATATGTGTAAAACATACGGTGTGCATAAAAGCTTCTGAGTATAAGGGGAAAACTTTAGCACTTCAAGTACAGTTTTCAAATTCCTAGGTACCAAAATCATATATTTAGGGAGCTTGGACAATGGGTGACTGAGGTTCTTCCAGTCTGAAAATACAGTTTTAAAATAGATAATAAAAGTACTGTATGTGCAGGAAAGCAGTTGCAGGTGATCAAAATCTCATCTGCTGCAGATGATTTGTAGCATCTGAAGCATCAAATGTTTACAGTTTGCAATATTGTTGGAAGAGTGGTTTAAAAGCTGTATGTTGAGTATATTGTAAGATTAGGCATAACATATCTATTTGTGCTCCAGTGGGTTAGTTCAGAAAGCCTTCGTCTGTGACTTCCTCCTTTTAGTTGCAAGTTGAAAAGGCAGCAAATTGTGTTATGTCCTGGATGATGAAATTTGATTATCTAGTTCACATTGTAAAAACAAACTACAAGTTTGTACAGCAGCCTTGATCTATTCACATGATTTTAAAATGTTCCTTGAAAATTAAATTTTCTTCATTCCATGTAAATTATTTTTTTTCAGGAAGTGGGTTGTCTTGGGGGGAGGGGAATTCACTCTGGTTAATAAGTAACCATATGGTGCATTTGGTAATGAGAAGGCACCTCTCTATACCAGTGTTTCCAAATTGGTGGTCGGGATCCACATAACCCACCTAGGGGGTCCATGACACATACCTGTCAACTGCCTGGGACATCCCATCTTTGGGCATTATGCTCTCATGAGCGTGACCTGGAAGACACACATCCCAGTTTTGCACTAGGAGATGTGGGAGGGTATGGTGGCAGCATTCACACAGAGATATAAATATTTTCAAAAGTAGAGGATCCATGGCTTGGCTTTTGAAAAATAGGGGGTCCCCAGTACTTGGCTAATTGGGAGCCACTGCTCTATATGTTATATACCCAGTCATTTATTTTTATTATTTTATTATTTATTAAATTTATATACCACCCTTCATCCAAAGAAGGATGTTTTGTTAGAACAAAAACAAAACAATCACCACCACCACCACCCCAGAAACACATTTAAGAGGCAGTAGAATATTAATCACCCAAAGGCCTGGCTGGAGAGGAAATATTTGAAATATTTGTTATAAATGACAATCATAACTAAAAAAGTATTAAAAGATGTATAATGAAGGGACCAGACCAACCTACCTGGGGAGAGCATTCTGCATATGGGGAGCCACTGCATAAAAAGGCTTATTCTGGTGTTGCCACCCTCCGGATCTCCCGTGGAGGAGGCACACGAAGAAGGGCCTCCAATAATGATTGCAGAGTCCAGGTTGGTTCATATGGGGAGAGGTGGTTGTTGACATATTGAGGCTTTAAGAATCAAAGCCAGCACTTTGAACTGGGCCTGGAAGTTAATTGGCAGTCAGTGCAGTCAGACCAGGATTGGTGTCATATGCTCAAACCATCATGCCTCTTTGATGGTTTCTGCACAAAATCATCTTCAAAAGCAGCCCCACATATAACGCGTTGCAGTAATCCAACCTAGAAGTTACCAGAGCATAGACAACAGAAGTTTGGCTATCCCTATCCAGATAGGGGCGCAGCTGGGTCACCAGCCGAAGCGGATGGAAGGCAGTCTGTACCATCAAGACCACCTGAGCCTCAAGCAACAGCAAAGGATCCAGGAGTACTCCCAAGCTACATACCCCATCCTTCAGAGGAAGTGTAACAGCATCAAGAGCAAACAATCTCCCACCCATCTGGTCTAGGGAGCCACTCACTAACAGTGCCTCAGTCTTATTTGGATTAAGGTTCAGTTTCTTGGCTTTCATCCAGTTCATTACCAAGGCAAGACAATGGTCTAGCACATCCAATGCCTCATCTGCAGATGTAAAGGAGAAGTAGAGCTGTGTGTCATCAGCATATTACTGACAATGTACTCCATAACTTGGGATGACCCACTCAGCAGTTTCATGTAGATATTAAATAGCACAGGGGATAAAATTGAGCCCGGAGGAACTCACATATTGAAGGCAGCATCAGATAAAAAGGTTTTACTCTGAACAGTTTGATTTAATTATATTCCATACTTGCCGAACGGGATACATAAAAGTCATAAGTTGGTTGACTGTTGAGGGACAAATAGGAAGGTTTTGTCTTGTTCAAGAAAACCCTATGGTCTAAGCCTAGTCTATTTATATATCCATTTTCCACAGATACATTTTTGCCCAAAGTTGTTTTCATAAAATAAAGCATATATATAAAATAGTATTATTGCCATTAGATATAATATTTTTATTATTATTTTCCCTTTCCAGAAATGTCCATTCTGAAAGATGTGCTGCAAGACTTCATTTGTGTTTGACTATTGGTACTTAAAACTGGAAAGGAAAATACATAATGGGTAAGTTAATCTGCTTTCATTTTATCACTGAAGAGGAAACTGATTTGTAGAAGAGTGGCAGCATAGTACAGAGGCATTTTTAGAATGTCATATTGAACTAAAGCTATTGAGGCTTGAAATATGTTTGCAGGATGAGAATCTGAATAATGTATGAGATTTGAACATAGCAAACATAGGGAAATGCATGTTTTTTATGTTCTGTTAGTTTCTAACAAAAGGCTTTTCATGCTTGGTACATTGGAAGTATCAAATGAGGGACTTTCAGAATCTATTGGAAGCCAATTTGCTACCTTATATGAATTGCTTCCCACGAAACATCCTGAACTGATGTAACAATAAAAGCATTTTAAAACCATTTCAAGTCCACTACAAATAAAGACTGGGGTAAAAATTTCTTCTAAAAAGGCTTGTTGGGAAAGGGTGGTGTTCAGTTGGCACTGAAAAGGCAATAGAGTAAAAATTTCTTCTAAAAAGGCTTGTTGGGAAAGGGTGGTGTTCAGTTGGCACTGAAAAGGCAATAGAGACAGAACCTGTCTAATAGTAATGGGAGGGAGTTCCAAAGGGTAGGTGCTGTCACACTAAAAGCCCAGTTCCTATATAGTCTATAACATATCTCCTCATGAGAGAAAAGGTCTCATGGGGCTCTAGTGACAGAATGGATCCAGCAGCCCCCTTAGACTATGAAAGGGGAGTATGACCTTGTACAAAGCAAGCAATTGGCCAGTTATCTGGGCTTGGGAACAGCTCACCTATAGTACTTCAGTCTTACTAGAACTGAGACTCAGTTGCTTGGCCCTCATCCCGTGCACCACCAATTTTATACAAGAAAAGGAAAGCAGTACAAATGTTGACTTTCTTCCCCAGATATCCTTCTTATAGATCAATGGACTGCTGTCATAGGGAAAAGGTTTCCTGATGTTTCCCCCAATCACAAACTTGAAGCCAACAGAGAATTACTAAAATTGATTGTGCAGGCATTGAAATTGGAGACCAGTGCTAGGCACTCCTATATTTTTGTTGAACCATGAATTGATGCTGTTACTATTGGTCTCGGAACTCATTCATTGCAGTGTGGATTATGCTACCACTGGTTTTCCAAATTCTGAGTTCTAGCATTTCTATTTTTTATTCACTAGATGGCACTGCTGAACAAGATAAGATTTTAGGATTCTGTTTTTGTAGTACATGGCAAGTCTAGTTTTTTTAAAATGTGACAAATGTATGAAGAACCATTTGTTTGTCAGGGCCATCAAATTTAAATGTAAACTATAATTGTTTTGATTTGAAAATTATTTTTGAAAGCTTTAGGGTTTCTGATGCTGCTTTTGTATAAAGAGCTATGAAATTTTCAATAACATATAAATGTGTAGAAAAATGAGTAGCCTTCTGTTGAAAAATATGTTTGTCATTAGGCACTACATTGGAAATATATTCAACCATATATTAAAATACATTTTCATAAACATGAGACCTTATATTCTTATTGGTCAACAACTAATTATATCTCAACAACAATATACTGTACCATATTTACTTGATTGTATTTCACACCTTTTTTGGCCAAATTACATCATGAGAATTACGGTGCGCATTAGATTTGATGGCACATTTACATTTGCCATCAAATACTTTTTTGATTTCAAGGTCTTGAAAATTGGGGTGCACATTAAATTTGATGGCACATTATATTCAAGTAAATACAGTATAACCTGGGACATGGGTAGCGCTGTGGTCTAAACCACTGAGCCTTGGGCTTGCCGGTCAGAAGGTTGGTGGTTCGAATCCCCACAACAGGGTGAGCTCCCGTTGCTCGGTCCCAGCTCCTGTCAACCTAGCAGTTTGAAAGCACATCAAGTGCAAGTACAGTGGTACCTCGGGTTACATATGCTTCAGGTTACATATGCTTCAGGTTACAGAATCCGCTAACCCAGAAATATTATCTCGGGTTAAGTACTTTGCTTCGGGATGAGAACAGAAATCGTGCTCCGGTGGTGCAGCAGCAGGAGGAGGCCCCATTAGCTAAAGTGGTGCTTCAGGTTAAGAACAGTTTCAGGTTAAGAATGGACCTCCAGAACAAATTAAGTACTTAACCCAAGGTACCACTGTAGATAAATAGGTACCACTCCGGTGGGAAGGTAAACAGCATTTCCATGCACTGCTCTGGTTCGCCAGAAGCGGCTTAGTCATGCTGGCCACATGACCCAGAAGCTGTCTGCGGACAAATGCCGGCTCCCTCAGCCTATAGAGGGGATGAATGCTGCAACCCCAGAGTCATTCGCAACTGGACTTAACTGTCAGGGATCCTTTACCTTTACAGTATAACCTACAGTATTTTTTCCATTTATCTAATTGAGAATAAATAATGTCACCATATCAAAACAATGCTATCTATCTAAGAGTGTCTCTTAGTACAATATGTACATTTTCATGGATTCTTTCTCCAATATAAAACAAATCATAGAACCAAAAAATTCTAGAGTTGGAAGGAACCCTGAGGATCATCTAGTTCAACCCTCTGCAATGCAGGAATATGCAACTGTCCCATATAGCGATCAAATCTGCAACCTTTGCGTTATCAACTCCATGCTCTAACCAATTGAGCTACTGAGGCATAAATTCAAAGTTTCAACAAACAAGTTACTGCAGGCATTTTCAGCCTTTTTGAATCTGTGGTTCCCTTGAGTCCCCTGCTCCCTTTACATTCTGATAATCATTAAAGGACTTAGTTACACTCGTCAATTATATCATTATAACTGCATTATAAGCATGTGACACCAGATGATGCTGTAGAGCAGTGATCCATTTTTTTTTCTATAATTTTTTTTAATCGGTATAGATCCAGCCCAAGTCAGCCCAGGGTGCCACGGCACACTGGTTGAAAACCTGGGAGTTACTCAGTTGTCTTCTTTCCCTTACTCTATATAAACTCTACAGGTCAGATCCTACATACTTAAGATCCAGTCTAATATAAGTGTGCCTGATTTTTCCAACTGGAATTCATGGTTGAATATGTTGCATTTAATAAATGAGTTATCATTTCAATATCCTCAACTATGGAAAGCCCGTAAGTAGGACCTGAGTGCAACACCACTTCTCCCCAGTTGTGATTCCCAGCAATAGGTATCAGAGGCATACTGCCCCAGACAGTGGAGGTGTGGGTCAAAGCCATTGTAGTTAGTAGCCATTGCTAGCTTTATCTTCCATGAATTTGTCTAAATCTCTTTTAAAGTCCTTCAGGTTGTAACCATCACTACATCAAAGCAAATTCCACAGCTATGCCCTATATCAGGCATAGGCAAACTCCGGCCCTCCAGATGTTTGGGACTACAATTCCCATAATCCCTGACCACTGGTCCTGTTAGCTAGGGATGATGGGAATTTAGTCCCAAACACCTGGAGGGCCGGAGTTTGTGTATGCCTCCCCTATATGAAGACTGACTCTTTAGCTTTATCGTATTAAAAAAGAGGAAGAAAAAGCACCCTGTTGCTACTTTCTCCTTACCATGCATCTTTCTATCATACCTTTGCTACTTTTTTTGTGCCAGAGAAACCTACTCTGCCTGAAAGGGGTTATTTCAGCAGTTTGGCTCAAAAAAAGATCTGCTAATTACATAGTGTCTGGTAAGTCCCATTTAAAATGGCACATTTTAGGCATTTGTATTGTATGCATTTTAGAACAGGCATACACATTTTTGGAGCAAATCTCCTGTTTATTTTGTATGAAGCTCCTCAAGTTGAACTCTTTCTTTGAAACAAACTGCTTAGTATTGGGGGAAGTTATATTGGTTCTTTTAGAACTGGTGCTCTCATTAAGTTTTCCATGATGCTTCCTTGTATCATTTAATTGGTTTACTTGTATCACTGAAAGCCAGAACTCAAGCTGGATTTGATACAAGGTCACATATGGAATTTTCTTTTGCTTTCATGAGAACATTATTTGAGCCTACACTCACCAAAAATGCAGTCAGGAGGTGGACAGAAGAGAGGAAAGGGAATATTTAGTGTTTCTGATATGAAAACCATATTTTTAAGTTCCTCTACCTCACTGGCTCATTTTCAGCAGCCATTTCATATATAGGGATATGTAATAATAATGATAATATAACAAAGGCCTTGCCCACTTCTGAAAAGTTCTTGCCAGTGCTTTTTTTCTAAAAGAAATTTAAAGCTACTCTCATTTTCCTACTCATACTGAAATACTGCCCCTCAATGAAGCGAAACTTAGATTCACAAAATGTTTAGGGATATGTGCACCCCTGCATCCCCCCCTGAAAAAACACACTGGTTATTGCACCCTAATACATCTCTGTATCTGCTCTTAGCTTTTCTTGCTTGGCCACATATAGGGAATACATTTTGTTCTGTAAGTGGGACTGTTAATCAATTTGGTTTTCTTCAGGAGCAAGATGTACTCACATCATCCTTGTATTTGTTTTGCCTTTCCAGAATATCGTATGATGGTAAGTGTTGCTTGTGAGTTCACACAACTTTGAGTTCATTGAGAACTAAGTGTACATTTCTTATGTATGCAATTGTGATTTTTTTTTTATTCCCCTTTCCTTCCCCAAAGGCAGAGTATGTTCTAATATCAACCAATATCGAAAATACAGAGGATGATACCTCATTTAAATCAGTGGACCTAAGTCCATTAATTTCAATGGATCTATTCTGAGTAACATTGGATATTACCCAGAGTTAATGAAAATACCACAATACCAGTTTTAACCCAAACTTCCCAAAGAAAAAGGTAATATACTGCTCCCAGGAAATGTTTGGGCATTCAGCATCTACCAAGAGGAGTGTTTACTAGTTGACCAAGCCTCCTTCAATGTCCTTTAATACAAACATGAAGGCTGAAGAGCTTCCTCAGCCAGTATTAAGGGTTGAATTGGAACATAAAGAAGCAGGTGTCCTCTCACTTGATATATGGTACACTTTGCAAATAATCTTTGTGTCCCCTCAATAATGATCTTCCGCTCCTCACTGGTGGCCTCTTTTAAATCAGTTTCTCATAAAATGTATTTTTCTTGCAGCAGTTCTCCATCCTCTTGTGTCACCAGTGGTGGCTGAGCTGAAATTTCCTGCATCCTAAAGAAGAGTATGTATAAAAGGAATGGCCTCATGGCCAACGTGACAGTGACCTCCGCCACACCAGAGGTACACATTTGGTATTCTGTTACCATTTGTATGTTTTAATTTAATTGTTGTTTATTTTGGCATCTCTCTAAGACTTTCTGCCATTAATTTGTCTTGCCTAGTATCATACTTGTATGTATTTTACAGATAATGGAAATTGAACAGCTGCAGCCAACGTGGCTAATGGGCAGGGGTGATTGGACCTGTAGGTTAAGGAGAGGCCAAATGGGGAACAAACTAAGATCTCAACTCAGGGATGGGGAAGACATTTGATTCAGTTCTCTTTTAAAGACAAACCTACCTAATTTGCCTTTCTGAACAATATATAAACTGAAACACAGCCACCCTTCAAAGTCCACACTTCTCTGAAATTTGCAGTGCCGTTCTTCAGTCAAGTAATTTGTACAAAAATGTGTATACTTGGGTAACGTATGCATTAAAATGCTTATATTAGCAAAATTATTATTTATTAAATTTATGTACTGTCCTTCATCCAAAGATCACAGTGTGGTTTACAACATAAAAACACAAAATACATAACATGATAACAAAAACAAATAAACGAAAACAACAACAGCAACCCTATTCACTCATTCCTACCAGCCCCTCATCACTCATGAAAGCACCCAGTTTATCCTCTTACTGGAGGCTTAATCAGAAAGTGGGCCCACGCCTTGTTGGTTCCCAAAAGGGAAGATCCCATTTGGATGTCACCTGCTGTTACAACAGTTCCCCAAATACTCTTGCCCCTGGAATCAGCTACTTCTGTAGCCTAGTGATGCTGTTCTCCAAGGGCAAGGCTTCAGGGTACACAGTGCAGATGATTGGTGAGTCTTAGGACCCAACTTGTACTCTGTTTCCTGATCCAACAATGTCTAATAAGCTCTGATGTCTAGGAGCTCTGATACATGTGTGATATGTGGCACTTTTCCACCTGGTTCATTTTAATGGACACAGCAGGTCCACACCTGTTCTCCATTTTGAATGTGAATCTGCTTTGTTTATTGAATGGGAAAAGGCAGTCTGCATGCATATAGTGTGGAAATGCCTTCTGTATCCATGTTAATGTTTTTCCATGTGATCCCATACTTGGAAGGGATTCCATACACAGAAGGAAGGGGAAAGTGGTAAATGAGTATGTGAAATGTCTGTAGAACTGAAACAGTCACGTATTAGCAGCTATGACCTCCTTCCCCCTGAGATTCTAAAGTGCTGTGAATCAGAAAGACCCAGTTTTGGGGATATTGCAGAGGTAAATTTAACTCTATTGTGCACTCGACTCCATAGAGTATGTCTTTTTGCATGTTTTTCATGAGATCTCCAAGCCTTTGAAGGCTGGAAATAATAATACAAGATTATGAAAAAATGCATTTTGTTGAGTTCTGTTTACTTCAGCTTTCTGTGGAAAAGCTGTACAGAGTTACTGGAATTTACAGTAGATTTAAACCAGCAACTTACATGAAAAAATAGACACCAGAACTATGCAGTTCATTTTAATAATTTAGTATTATCATGCTGAAAAATAGTCACTGAATTGAAAACATTGGAAATGGATGAGAAATGAAGACTGGCATCTTGTGGTTAGGATTTATACCATGTCCCAAAATTGTAAGAACCTAACTCCTAGCTGGGTTTTATACTTTTTGAGTGGAAGGTGAGAATGCATCTTCTATAAACATTACATTACAGTAATGTTACAGTAAATCTGTAATGTCCATTAGAAACTCTTGAAATTTGAAAAGGTTCCTTTGTGATTAAGGGTCTAAGTTCATATTTGACAGATCTAAGATATAATTCTGATTTTGCCACAGTCTTCCTGCATGGTTTTGAATAGCATACTGGTGAACAGTTATAATTCTGGGAATCTGAAGGGAAACCTCAGACTAAATAGAGTGTTTTCTGTTTAATGTAACAGAGAATGATCTGTGTGAATTCCCGTATTTATTAAAAACAGTAGCCTCCTTCCATTTTATTTAGTTTTCACAACTTACTATGTCTTCATAAGCATGTTTATTCAGAAGTAGGTTCTGAGTTCAATGGGACTTACAGCTTAGTATATTTGCTTAGGATTTTCTAAAATGTGTCCAGTAACCAAAAGACTTTGGTCATATACTCCAATATCTAGTTCTGTCCATACTTAGATTATATCACAAATATTTGCAGATATAGGTGTATGCCCAATTAGTCACTTCCTCTTCTTGCTGCCATCACTGCCTGCCCATGTACTGCCACTTTTGAAGTCAGAAATTCATTTTCAGTGAAGAGTGCTATTGCACCCAAGTCCTGTTTGTGGCCTCCCCTTACGCATTTGATTGGCTATTGTAAGAATAGGATGCTGGACTAGATGGGCCTTTGGTCTGATCCAGAAGAACTCTTGTGTTATTCTCCTCATGGTTAATGGCAGGCTGCTTAGCCCAACCATTTAACTCTTTAAGTCAGCGGTTCCCAAACTTTTTGAGTTGCACAGCACTTTTCAGAAGATAAATTTGCCATGGAACACTTTCGTTGTCCTTATACCAAAGGCACATATGTGCATTTTTGGCTGTTTTTACATTTATTTTACTTCAAATTTCTTCGCAGAGCACCAAGTGCTTTGTGGAGCACTGTCTGGGAACCGCTGCTTTAAGTTTCTGGGGGACAGTAAGCGACTAGGTGTGGGGGACTCCCTGGTCCTGAATGGGGTGGTAACTGTGCCCCTCAAGGACCAGGTCCATAGCCTGGGGGTCATTTTGGACTCACAGCTGTCCAGGGAGGTGCAGTTTAATTCTGTGTCCAGGGCAGCTGTTTACCAACTGAGACTTTACCTGCCTGCACATTGTCTCACCAGAGTGGTATATGCTCTGCTTTGACTACTGAAATGCACTATACATGGGGCTACCACTGAAGGTGAATTTGAGACTACAACTAATCCAGAATGTGGCTGCTAGACTGGTGACTGGGAGCAGCTGCTGGGGCCATATAATACTGATCCTAAAGGATCAACATTGGTTTCCAGTACATTCCGAGCACAATTCAAAGTGTTGGTGCTGATGTTTAAAGATCCCTAAATGGCTTCAACCCTGTATACCTGAAGGAGTGTGTCCACCCCCATCATTCAGTCTGGACACTGAGGTCCACCTCCAAGGGTCTTCTGGTAGTTCCCTCTCTGCGAGAAGCCAAGTTACAGGAAACCAAGCAGAGGGCCTTCTTGGTAGTGGCACCCACCTTATAGAACACCCTCCCATCAGATGTCAAACAGATATACAACTGCACAACATTCCGAAGACATCTGAAAGTAGATGTATTGGGAAGTTTTAATGTTTGACAATTAGCTTTGTTTTTATTTTGCTAGAAGCTGCCAGAGTGGCTGGGGCAAAACTGTCAGATGGGCAGGGTACAATTATTATTATTATTATTATTATTATTATTATTATTATTATTATTATTAATTTCCTAGAGAGTTCTAAAAGTAACCCAGCCTCTTCATGACTGTATTCACTTTTTTCTAGCCTTAAAGAGAAATTGGTAGGAAATACTACTGGGATATCTCTGCCACTTTCCTAGTTTCACAAAGCAAAGAAATGCAGCTTCAATAGTGTTTCAGTGGTACCTTGGTTCTCGAACGGCTTAGTTGTCAAACAAATTGGCTTCCAATCGCTGCAAACCCAGAAGTAAGTGTTCCAGTTTGCAAACATTTTTTGGAAGCCAAATGTCCGATGCAGCTTCTGCTTGAGTGCAGGAAGCTCTTGCAGCCAATCAGAAGCCACGCCTTGGTTTTCAAACCGTTTCAGGAGTCAAATGGACTCCCGGAACAGATTAAGTTCGAGAACCAAGGTATCACTGTATTTTGTTCTTAGCTTGGAAAGGAATACAGTGATTAATTAGAGCAGGCAAATGTTGTTACTTTTTGGTTCACCAATTCAAAGCTTTTGAAACGTCTAAGAATAGAGGCTTTACAAGATCCATCGCTGGGGAAAACCCTACTGATATATATACCAAACTTTATATTGAAAGCTCTTTCTAATCTTATAGCTGCACATCTCTTCTCTTGCATTAGCCAATATGAGCACCAACTTGAATAGCTTTTGTTTAATAAGCAGAGGGGAGAATTGGATAGAAACCCGAGTTAGTAAAAAGTAAACTGGCATAAGGCTCAGCTTTGCTTTTTTCTTCGTGAACGCAATCATTAATTAGCTGACTGGCAAATTTCTGGGTTCATGTAAATCTATTCCTCCCATCCCTTTCCATAGGGCAGCAGCAGTTCTGACTCTCTGGAAGGACGGAGTTCAGATTATGCCCATAAAAGCTATGATGCAGTTGTGTTTGACGTATTGAAAGTAACTCCAGAGGAGTTTGCAGTAAGTAAAATGACTGATTTCATATTTGTACTGAAAGTATTGACATGATCATAAGAATAGGTTCTCATTCAAATTTCTGAAGTAAATTAGTGTTCATCAAGCTATCTCGGGGGTTTACTTGATTTACATATAAAGTTTTTAATTCTTATACCCAATTGCAGTATAACTAACACTTTTTTCAGTGAAGCTTCTCCTAAGCTGTAGCCATGGCACCATGTTCACTTTTATAGAAACCTTTTTTCTAAATGTGAATGCAGAAGTGGAAACATAGTGCTCAGGTATTTGGGGCTGCTGGAGAGGCTTCAGCAGCACGTCCACCCACCATTGACTACATTTTCTCCCTTCCCACAGGCATTGGAGCAGTTTAGGTAAAGAGGACCTTTCCTGCCTTATTTTTTATATTCAGGTGTTTGTTTGTTTGTTTGTTTGGGGGGTGTGTGTGTGTTTATTTTTTAAAAAAGGACTTCTCTGCAAGCCTTTTTTCCTGTTGGAACTTACCAGAACTCAGTTTCAACACCTCTCAGGTGGGCACCATTGCCATTCTAAAAGAACTAGGGAGGTGTTCATGGTGATTTCTGGCACTTCTTTTTCTAGAAAAATAGAACTGCTTCTCTGCCTGATAATGACAGACACTTGGGATTTAAGCAGAGATAATGTGACCAGGAGGGATTCTGCTTCGCTCTTCTGATTCTGCCAAAACTGAAAAGGCAGTAGCCAAAGCAGTCAGCTACTTTGCCTTTATTTCAGTTAAATGAGGTTTACTATTAGAAAAATGCACAAGAAGAGAAAGGGAACTATAGCCTAGGAATTACAGATGGAAAAACTGAAATTAAATTGAGGAAGCAACATATAAATCCTTTCCCTTCTGTGCCTCTGCACTTAAGGATGTATCCTATTATGTTTTACTGGTTCTACTCTAAATATGACTAACATTGGATAGAAAGCTAAATGTCTACATTGCAGAATCTGTGAATAGTTTCCAATATTTGTCTTACACAGAGTAGAGCCATTGAAAGTGATGGACACAACCAACTTAGGTATATTAATTTCAATGGGTCTATTGAGTAAGGAGCGGGACGCGGGTGGCGCTGTGGGTTAAAGCCTCAGCGCCTAGGACTTGCCGATCGAAAGGTCGGCGGTTCGAATCCCCGCGGCGGGGTGCGCTCCCGTTGCTCGGTCCCAGCGCCTGCCAACCTAGCAGTTCGAAAGCACCCCCGAGTGCAAGTAGATAAATAGGGACCGCTTACTGGTGGGAAGGTAAACGGCGTTCCGTGTGCTGCGCTGGCTCGCCAGATGCAGCTTGTCACGCTGGCCACATGACCCGGAAGTGTCTCCGGACAGCGCTGGCTCCCGGCCTCTAGAGTGAGATGAGCGCACAACCCTAGAGTCTGTCAAGACTGGCCCATACGGGCAGGGGTACCTTTACCTTTACCTTTATTGAGTAAGGAGCAAAATTTAGCTGGATGTCACACAACCCTTGTTGCCTTGTTTGGTCAAGAATGTGGGGAAAGGAGCTCTTAAAAAGTGTCATAAGTGAGCTATTGAATCCCAAATTACTTTAACTGTGCATTTCATCACAGCAGTGTTAAAATGTTTGTACAATATCAGCTTTTCTGAAGACTACGCACATATGATCTGGGGCCCAAGTGTTGTCAGAATTTTCTGTCTTGGGCAAAAGGATCTTGGACTAGCACAGAATCAAGTATTTGTAAATTTGTAATTGTTCTTTCTCTAACTTTTGTTACAGAGTCAGATTACATTGATGGATATGCCTGTGTTTAAAGCTATTCAGCCAGAGGTATGTGCCCTGATATTAACTTATAATAAATGTTGGAAGTCAACAATGACCATTTGGATAACTTTCTATGTATTTCAAGGGAAAAGAACTGTTATTAACGTAAGACCCAAACTGTACCTAGCTCTGCACAGTGAAGTACCTATATAAAGGCTGTAAGTGCAAAGTGACAATTTAACCTGCATCAGGAAATGCAAATAATATTTCTGAGAAGCTGGATCCCCTCTGAGGTTTTTCATGTGCCTCTTGTGCTGAAAGTTCCCCCACTCCTACTATAAATGCTATAAATCAATCAATCAATCATATACACCTCCCCCAAGGGCAAAGAGAGGAGCTGCAAGAGAAGCCCAATCATTTCAAATTCCCAACAGGATGAGAACTCAGCCTCTGAAAACATGACAGGCAGAGGAAGCAGGATGGGGCCCAGCATAATTTTTTTCTCTGGCATATTGGCAAATATGAACAAGCAGCAGTATGTAAGTGGAAGCCATAGCAGATTTCAGGGACACTCCTTGTGCCACTCAGTCATTTGCTCAGTTTTGTACCACTGTGTTTACTGCTGCTGCTGAGGAATAATAATAATAATAATAATAATAATAATAATAATAATATATTTATACCCCACCCATCTACCTGGGTTTCCCCAGCCACTCTGGGCGGCTTCTAACAAAATATTAAAATACAATAGTGTGTCAAACATTAAAAGCTTCCCTATACAGGGCTGCCTTCCGATGTCTTCTAAAAGTCTGGTAGTTGTTTTTCTCTTTGACATCTGGTGGGAGGGCGTTCCACAGGGTGGGTGCCACTACTGAGAAGGCCCTCTGCCTGGTTCCCTGTAACTTGGTTTTTTGCAGCGAGCGAACCGCCAGAAGGCCCTCGGCACTGGAACTCAGTGTCCGGGCGGAATGAGGAAAATAAAACCAAGGAAAGGAGCACTATTAAAAGATAAAAAAACCAAATGTCAATGAACAGGGTTAATTGGAAGTCCTTTTTGAAATATTGTATAACCATATCAGTTTTTCTCCATTTATTTCTTTTTTAAAAAATCTATGGTCCAATGAAGACAATTATCACCCACCCACCCGACAATGCCCACTGGAACCCAAACAACGTGATCATGCAATGTCAATTCCTGAAACATTCTTCTGGCTCCATTTAGAAAGTGTGCAGCAGAAGCTGCATGTCTTAGCCACTCAGGGAAGCTTTTACATTTAATGATGTTTTTGTTGTTGCTGTTGAAAAAAGAAATAAATAAAAAGGCCATTGGCCACCTTTTATTATTGTAAACTAAGTAGTACCTCCATCACCCAAACTCCCCACACTCCCTTCACTTCCTACAAAACCTGCAAAATGTTCTGCTGCAGGAGTGTTCAGATCAGCCCTAGTCAGATTGATTGTGGTCAGCTTAAAGACAGACAGGGCATTGGCAGGTCTTATTCAGGTTCGTATGTTGATGTTGACTGACAGCAGTAGGTGGAAATGTGGTTTGAGACAAACTCTTTAAAATTGCTTGAATTTTCTATTTTAGAAGTTAGAATAGGCCTTCTAGGAAGCAGTGTAGACGCTGAGTTAAAGCTTGGCAGAAGGCTAGGAAAACTTAGAAGTCTTGCAAGTGTTGTAATACATAGCTGTCTTGTTCCCTGATGACTATAAGAAGTGACTAATTTTATCAGGAGATGTCTGGTGAATGCAGTCAGAGCTCTGACATATATAATTGCTTCCATCTGTACTTACGCATACAGCATGTGTTCTAAGACCAATTAGATCTCAGCTGCTGATATTGCTAACAGTGGCTTTTCCAGCTGTCTCTTTTAATTCTATGTAGTCAAATTAAAATTTGTTACATTCTGGCATGTGTTATTCTTTGAACTTAGTTTTGATGTGGCATCTTACTGATAGAATGATAACATAATTCTATGGGCTAGATATATTTGTGTCCTAATAATGGTTTTAACGGGCTACTACATTTATATATGAGGGAAGGCTATTTCCTAAGTGCTTCTGCCTATTTAGATTTGGAAATGTTCTCCCCAGAGAGGCTTCATAGGCACCTACAATGTATTTATATCAGCATCAGGTGAAAAGCTTTGTATTCTACCAGGCTTTAGGGCTTCTGAGAATTTCTGCAATTCTGGCATTCTGAAGCCGTGAGAAAGTTATGGTACTGGTTGGTATTTGTTTTAACACTGCTGCTGTTTGGTTTTATGCTGGGTTTGTATTTGTATTTATTTGATAGTTCATTTTTACATGTTTATGTCCATCCACAGACTGCTGGTAATGGGAGTGGGAGCAGAGCTCAGAAGTATCATAAATTAATGATATGTAAAATATTTCATGGCCCTAGGAAATTTTATTTCTAAAGAAGTTTGTGGCCATTTTCTTACTGATTCTGCATCTTGGACTCCTCAAAGACCCCTCTGTATTCTTCCTGCAGCAGGAGCTCCTGGAAGAAATTACGCATGGCATGAATAGATAAAAGTTTTTCCACTCTCTCATCACACTAGAACTCGTGGACATCCAGTGAAGCTGCATGTTATAAGATTCAGGACACGTTAAAGAAGTAATTCTTTACACAGCACATAGTGTTATGTAGCCCATAACTATGGCACTTGCATGTCTTTAAATGATGATTAGACAAATTCGTGGAGGGGAGGGCTATCTGGGGCTACTAGCTGTGCTCTATCTCCACAGTTGGAGGCAGCAATGCTTCTGAATACCAGTTGCTAGAAACAAGGGAAGGGAGAGTGCACTCATGCTCCAGTCCTGCTTGCAGGTTTCCCACAGACATCTGGTTGGCGGCTGTGATAACATGATGCTGGACTTGGTGGGCCATTGACCTGATCCAGCAGGCTCTTATGTTCTTTGCGCACAAATGTATTGTGTGTATGCAGCCTGAGATACAAAATACTTAAGTGGAGAAGGGCATGAACTTTGATTCTGAGAGCTTGCAACTCAGAACCAGCAACATATTTTCCACCCAAAGACTTGTTATAACAAATTGCAAAGGCAGCCTATTATTTGGCTTTAGCAAAAGGAATAGTAATGTTGTCATTCGTTGGTCGAGAGCCACCTACTGCTTTTCCTCACTGTGTTTATGCCATGAAGTTTAAGGATAACTAAAAAATCATCAGTCCTCAACGTGGTGCTTGACCTTTTCTGATGTCAGTTTTTATCCAGTCCTGAATGTAAGGCATTCCAGAGCACAGAGAGAGGTGTTGGATGTTCTACGAACATTAACAAGTGCCGTATGTTTGCAGATATTAAGTCATTTTTCCTTTAAAAAGAAAGAATATTTTAAAATAAGAAAGTGATCTAGGGCAGATTGTCAAAGTTGCAGTCCCTTGGGCTGTCTACAGCACACTATGTATTGCAGCCCATCAACTGCTTAATAAAGCCCCTGAATTTTAGCAGTCTATTAGCATATATGATCACGTCACAATTTATTCTGAAGAGCATTGATACACTACAACCTTGACAGTACTTGTATCAGGTTGCTCTTATCAGCTTAAATAGTAAACAGTTTTTGTTCATCTTGTTCATCCGTAAAGATCCCTAATTCCTGTCTGTTACTGTTTTCTCCCCATATCATTATAGTATCTTCTTCTGGTTTTCCTCATTTGGGCAGATGCAGCCTAACTCGTAAGAAGCAAGAACTCAGGAAGTGGTTTTTGCAGCTCAGTGTTGATTTTGGGGCTACATAAATATTTATACTAATCATTCTTTTTTTGAGTAACTGGAGTGATTTATGAGATAATTTTCATATCCTTGAGTAACAAGGGAAGCCTTGTAAGTCATCATTTGATCGTTGTTCACACAGCTGTTATCTTCCCAAAATTTGTAAAATGTGTCACACCCACCCACCAACCGAATTATTTTATGCATTTAGTAGTAGACTGTGGAAACTACCATAAATAGCAGGATTTATTGCACTTGCATGATAAAATGCTATCCATTACCCACTCCCCTGTCAGGATTCCTTCTCCCACCCCCCAAATATCTAATGAGATGAAAAATGTACCCAGTATAGTTGTGTTAGTGGTACAAGGATGTGTTGGTAGGCAGATAGGGGCAATTTACTACAACTGCTAGTATATGATAACTATTACTTAACCTAGGTGAGTAGGCCAGTGGTAGGTTGTATATGATTGTATTTATTTGTGATAGCCAAGATGTGGAACGTTCACAGAATCATGTTTACTCATAAAGGAGGTTCTTATGATAAGCTCCTTTTTTTACTGATTTTAATTGCAAGTAACAAAACATACCCATACAAGGAAAACAGAGCCTAATAATTTTACAGAGAATAAAGAAAAGATTGTGACTGATGTAGTTTTGGACATTCCAAGAAAGGCAATCAGATGAAAGTCTCTTCATAAGGTTCCATGAGTTGATGGAGGGTGAAAATCATGTTCAGTTGTCTTAACAAAGTCAGTAAAAGGATACTAGATTGTATAGGTGTGAGTCTTTCCACCCCTCAGATTGATTTTCTTTTTGTGAAATGGTTAATTTGTTCGTAAGCATAATATTGCTTGCAGAATCCAGGCTTCAAAAAGATTTGCATTTAAAGTTTACTAATTTTGCAATCACTAATCTAGCTGCAATTAATAAATGGAGGATGAGGTCTTTACTGGAAATGTTCTTAATCTGAAGAGTAAAATAAGATAGGAGTACTAATTTTTGGTCTGGTTGTAGCGATTGTCCCATCATTTGTTTGAAAAACTTTTCCCCAAAAACCACCACTTGTGTACTAGAGAGCCAGGTAAATTGCATTCCCACCAGCAGAAATTGGACGTGTTGTGATTAATTCTGTGCAGTCTAGCTGGACACAAGGACATGTGATGTGCTATCTATAAAGCATTTTCTTGAGTTCTAACTGAGATGGATCCAAATGGTAGTTTAGGGCAGATTTGCTCCCAGGGGTTTTCCTCCAATTCTGCTCCAGAATCTTTCCCCCATTTTAGGCTTAATGAAATGAGAGGAAGGGTAGACTATTGTGTGAGGAT